ATCCTCAGTACCCAGATTGGCACCATCCCGTGTTGTAAATTGCAGAGCTGAACAGAGTGCTAGCTAACAGGAAATTACACTTTTAGTTTAACAGTGGCATTTGTGCAGAAAGTAGCAGGTTTTTTCTCTTTCTTTTTCATTTGTTCTTTCACACTAGTAAATACATTTAGCCAGCTGCCTGAAGAGAGAGGAGCTTCAGGGGAAAGATAGGTTTTGTCATGAATACTGGGGACTTGGTGTGATGTCACTGCTAGCTCTGTGTGATCGTAGGTGGTGTTAGAGCTCCAGGAGCTAGGGGGGAGAGCAGTCGAAGAGACGATGTCGCTCTCAGACAAGCAGCCTTCCTCTCGCACTGCTGCTGTAAGCCAGCTCTGTAAGGGTGAGCCTGCAGAGTGCCGAATGGACCCCCCGAAAGAAATCAGCCAAGCTGGATTTGAGTGGCAGAGGACAGAGGGCAAACTGAATGAAATCGGACTGAATGTCAGCATGGACGGGCAGCTGAAAGATGGGCTCGTGAAGAATGCCAGCTTCCTGGAGCAGAATAAGCTTTGCTTCTTTGAAGGGAAGCTAGACAAAGAGCCCAGCATCGAAGTGCAGGACAAGGAGTATCAAGCAACCTCGGGTCACCTTGAGAGCAGATATGTGATTTCAGAAACCTGCCATTCCTCGGAGGGGAACTCGGTGCACCAGAAGACAGCTGAGTTCCCTGTGGGACCCGGAGAGGGTCCAGACAGAAACAAAGCCTCTATAGTTCAGGGAACAGTGGCAGGGAAGAATGGGCCAGAGACCAGGAGCCAGCCGGATCTGGATTTCCCTGGGGCTGCTGACCTCCCCACCTGCTATGTTAAGGAGCAAGAAACCAGTGTCTGGAACCCTAACTTTAATGCAGTGGCTCAGGGCTTGAGGGAAGCAACTCCAGGACAGGAGGATGGCATCACCACCAGCTGCCGGGTGACTGGGACAGTGAAAGATAACTCTGGGCCACCTGAATGTGAGTCCTCACCATCAGTGGCTGTCGCATGCCCAGCCCCCACTGTTAACCCTTCACCCACTGCCATTCCACCCATCACTATGGTGGAGTTCACCCAGGAATATGTAAATGCTGGCTCTCATGACCGAGACCATGAGAAGGAGCAGGAGAAATCGAATTCTCCCGAGGAGGGGGCTTTGTTCAACCAAGTGCCCCAGCCGAAGAAAGCAATGCGCCGGGCCCTGTCAGAATGTTCTCACCTCTCAGTTCCCCCAGCCGTCAACCTTGCAGAGAAGTATCCTGAACTCCCTGCCCGAGAAGAGCTTTCTTCTGGCCTGCTGCCTCTCACTAGCAGCCCCGTGCCAAGTCCTACGCCCAGGAAACTGGGGGCTCCTGCCGTCAGGCGCTCCATGACAGTGGCTGAGGGACAGACAGACAGCTACACGTTGAACCCCGGGGAACTGCCCAGCCGGTCTCTCGAACAGACACCTGCTTTCGTCTGCGAGGAACCTGTGGCCAAGGAGAGAGAGGAGCTGACCCCCTTCGGCAATCGCGTAGGTAGCAACTCTGGGAAGAAGGAGCTGGGTCTCACTGGGTTGTGTCTCCATGGGAAGCTGGAGCAGATCCCTGAAGTTAGTAGCAAGGAAAGAGGACACGAAGATGGTAGTGAAACAAGAATGGATTCATGCTCCCAGGCCTGCCCAGGAGGTGAGAAGCAGCCGGGACAGACAGCTCTGGCAAGGAAGAAAGAAATTCAGGTCACTGCAACCCAGAGCACTCCATCGTTCCAGTGTGAAGAGACCCCACGTGATGGTATGTTTCTAAATTTTGCTTCCATGGGGAACAAGCAGACAGCGAGGAAGAAACCAAAGTGACAGATTACCGGCAGGAGCGTTAGGCAGCCTGTTACCGCTGGAGTCTGTGAGCCTAAGGGAAAGCGGAATTCTTTGCATGGGAAGGTTGCTGGGAATGAGACTAGAGCATGAACAAAGTGCAGCTAACTAGGTCAGCCTCAATGCTGCTGGTGTCTTGGGTAGTGGGGCTTGAGGGTGTGGGCTGATGGGGTCAGAGGGTGCTGGACATAAGGAGAAGAGCCCCTTCCTTGACCTCATGTCACCCTGTCCACCCCATCCCCCATCCTCTCACCCCTCAGCTCCCTGTTGGTTTGAACCAGATGATTTCTGAGCCCTAAATCATCCAATCACAACTGATTGATTTCCTTGCTTGAAAATCTGCCACCGTGTGGATTCACAATGGGCGTATCTGCACAAACCTCCTCTCATTAAGTAGCACAGCCTGGGTGCAAGCTCTGTTTTCCATTTTGCTTTTGAGAACATTTTACTTTTGTTCCAGTGGAAAAAGAGCCTTTTAAAGCTGGCTATTTAATATTCTTTTCCTGTTCTTCATGTTTGACCCAGTCTTGCTTCTAGTCTTCTCTTTCTGTATACGTGTGGGGAGAATTTGTGGGGAGAAGAGAAAGGAGAGAGAAGGAGAGACTTGCACTTAATAAACAACTAAATGTCATGGTCTTTGTGGCTGCTTTCTGTCTTTCTTCCTGGCTCTTCTCTTCTCCACCCCCACCCCACCCCCACCCCGCCAGCTTATTGTTGGTGGTCTACAAAAGCTTGTTTTCTCCTCCGAGTCCAGTTTTAGCGCAAAGGGCCATGATTCCCAAGCTGGTTAATGGGGATTTAAATCATGTGTGTTGTTTGTAAAAAAAAAAAAAAAAAAAAAATAGCCTCTTCCTCGAACATTTATTCTTTGAGTACATTTTCATGAAATTTTTTAGGCATTTTCTTTTAAAATTAGAAGTGATATTTTCTAGGGGAAGGGGAAGTTCAGGACCCCAGAAGACTAGTCAGTTTTTTTGTTTGTTTGTTTTTGTTTTTGTTTTTTTAATGGAGATAGGCAAAGAAGCTTCGAATCTCCTCTGACTTAGGATTCCAAGATGACAAGAACTCAGATATTATGCTGTTGCTTGCTTCTAGCTGTGGCAGAACCACAAGCCCCCATGGATAGGATTGTGTCCTCTTTTTTTGATCCGCTGGTGCCTGGTCTTGTGCCATACACCTTCTAGGTGGTAATGAGCGCAAATTTTTGTTTATTTCAAAACCAGTTCATCCCCATTCATGCTAACAGAAGTTCATGGTGGTAGGAAAAAAATGTCAAGTAACTTGCAAACCTCACTGATCTATTCACCTAAGAAAATGTTTAAGTGCTGACACTGCTAAACACTAGGTAGGTAAAACTAGATAAAGATTCATTTAAAAAAAAAAAAAAAAGATTCATTTACTGGGCAGCCCTGGTGGTGCAGCGGTTTAGTGCTGCCTGCAGCCCAGGGCTTGATCTGGAGACCCTGGATCAAGTCCCACGTCAGGCTCTCTGCATGGAGCCTGCTTGTGTCTCTGCCTCTCTCTCTCTCTCTCCCTGCATCTCTATGAATAAATAAATAAAATCTTAAAAAAAAAAAAGATTCATTTACTTAACACGCTTACCATATGCTGGTTGCTGGATATTGTCATTACGTTGTCAAGCAAGTTATGATCTGATTGGGGTGGGGGAATGGAACAGTGAGGGAGTTGTGAATCATGGACACTACCTGGAGGAGGTGGTTTGGAAGCCTTGGATGTCTAACATTGCGAGGGAAAGCCTTTCAGGCAAAGGAACCTGTGTAAACAAAGGTGTGAAGCCCAGACAGCTCACATTAGGTAAAAGAACAAGGACCAGTATTCATGGGGCACCCTTGTAAGGATTACTTAATTTCAAAGAACGGAAACACACTCAGAGGAACTCCAATATATTAAAAAGGTGTTTATTGACAGGGAGTCTCAGGGAATCCAATCGCAGGAAGTGTATCCCGGCTGCAGCCATTGTGTGCCTTTCAAGACATCTGCTTTGCCCTAAACATGTGTTCCATTCTCTTCCCTTCTGAGAACTATTTTTCCTCTGCCATCTCTTACTTCTTTGGTGACCCTGGTCCGCATAGGACATTGGATTGCCGTGGTTTGGGCCCTGTGCCCCATGTGATGCTACACCTTATATGTACTCTTATATCTGTTTACCTCATTCATCTGGGAGCCTCTTAGGAGAAGAGTGTGAGTTGAGCAAACATACCCAAGCCATTTGTACACACGTGGCCAGAAATAATGGGAGAACAAGTCTAAAGAGTTGTTTGGAACCCAAATCTCAAATACAGGAAGATGTTAAAAACAAACAAACAAACAAAACTGGTGGCTGCCTCTGACAATAATGTGGCCCAAAGTCAGCTTTGGAATGATTCACCTGTTCTCAGTAGATAAGATGAACTGGAAGGCAAAAATTCTTGTGACAACAGCTGGATTCATGTAATAGTAGCAGGTTAGATATGACATGAAGGGGAAATATAACAGGTGAAATCAACTAATCAACGACTTGAAAACTGGGTGTGGAAGGTGAGAGGGAGAGAGAGAGAGGAGTCAAAGGTGATGCTACGACTCCTCTTTTGTTTCCCAGCAGGTAGTAGCACAAATACTAGAAGAATCCAACAGAAGGGAGAATCCACAGAATCCACATAACATAACTGTTTGTGGAACAGTTATGAGTTCTATTTTGAGCATTCTTTTTCAAAACTATGAGGACTTTTGGTGGTCTCTAGCAATTGGTTGGCATAGACCCCTGAGACAAAGATGGAGGCCACTGGTAAGCACCATCTGGGAGGGAGCCAGCAGTTTCGGCTTATGTGTGTGTCAAGTGTTTTTCACTAGGTGACAGTTACTTAAACAGGTTGAGATGTTACATGTTTATATCATAGGCAGCAGGGCTTTGTGTTCATGTTGTTTACTAAAAAAATCCTATTAAAAATGTTCATAGTGGTCCGAGGCTAATGGCAATAAGTCACACATTTGGTAAGATATTCTTTCAGCTTCCTTTAGAAAAAAAGATATTAGCAGCCTTGCATAGTGTTTGTTCTTCTTCTTCTTCTTCTTCTTCTTCTTCTTCTTCTTCTTCTATTTATTTATTTGTTTGAGAGAGAGCATGTGCACAAGCAGCAGGAGGGGCAGAGGAAGAGGGTCAAGGAGAGGGAGAAGGGAGCCTGACATGGGGCTCAATCCCAGGACTCTGGGATCATGACCTGAGCCGAAGTCAGACACTTCTGAGCCACCCAAGTGCCCTCATAATTTTAAAACAAAAAGCAAATTCAATTTTGACTAAAAATACATAGGGGGTCTCAAACATCAAAAAGTACAAAAGATAAGACTACTCGATTTACTTTTTCTTGCTCCTCTCCTCTAAATACACCGAAAAGAATTCAGCAGACAATTATTAAAGGAATCTGAAAGGTAGAAACGAGGACAGACTGGGTAAGGAGCTTAGGACTTGAGGAAGGGCAGTGCACAGTGAGTTGTGTGGGTTTTGTCATGTAATCTTCCATATACCCAGCTCTGGGCCCTGTGGAGTGCCTGCAACCTCAAAATGCCAACAAGCATAGATACCCAAAGGATGAAGGGGAAGAGAAGGAAAAAACGAAAAGCCTACTTTCCCCTTCCAAAAGACTAGAAAAGGTGAAGCTCTCTTACCCTACCAATCTCCAACAACAGCAGTGGGCTTAGTCCTGCTGAGCAATGCTCAGGAGGGCCTACCTGTTGCCTGTTCCACACTACAGTATGACCTATCCCTAGTCCCCCACCAGGTGACAGCACCAGTGACACCCACAGGCCTGGTGTCTTCTAGCCCTTCATCCAGGAGCAGAAGGGGAACCTTCGGAGGTTTCCTCCTAAACTCTTCCCTCCAGCAGCAAAAGTCCGGGTAGTTGCTAACTTCTCCCTGCAGTACCTACAGAGATTGAACAGGAAGTCAGCCAACACCAGGCAGCCAGAGAATAGGCCAGGAGAAACTGCATTCTATGGGTCCAGCATCACTCAGCTCCCATCTAGTGAAACCACCTGACCTAGGGAAGTGCCTGGAAGTACCAGCAGGGATTGAGTGATAGTTGTATGTAGCTAGAACACAGCAGGCCAGAATTGCATTGCAAGAGCTCTGGCAACGAAATTGTCATTGAAACTACACCTAGAACATGCATGCCCAATTTAAACAGTGATTACATGCAAACATACAAAATTAAGATTTTAAAGCAGCCATTATCAAATTGCTTCAACAAGGAATGATAAATTATCTTGAAACAAATGAAAAGCTAGAAAATATCAGCAAAGAAACAAGTTATAAAAAATTCCAAAATGGAAATTACAGATAGGGAATATACAATAATTAAATAAAAAACATGTCAGATGGGCTCAGTTATTGCACTGGAAATGTCAAGAGATCAGAATCAGTGAACTTGAACACAGATCAATAGAATTTATTCCATCTGAACAGCAGAGAAAATAGGCCGAAAAAAATACTTTAGCTCCTCAGAGATTTCAGGAACAGTAATACAAGATCTCACATTCAGATCATTGGAATCCCAAGAGATGAGAAAGACCATGAGACTGAACAGCTATTGGAAGAAATAAGGGCTGAAATTTTCCCAAATTTGTTAGAAGACTTAAATCTACAGATTCATGAAACTGAATGAACCTTAAGAGAAAAACCTAAAAAAAAAAAAAAGAGAGAGAGAGAGAAACCTAAGGAAGTCTACACCAAGGCATATAATTATACTCTGAGAACTAAAGACAAAAAAAACCCTGTAAAACAACCAGAGAAAAATAACACATTAGTTGTTGGGGAACAGCAGTTCAGATGACAGCGTGATTCTTATCAGAAACTATGAGGGCAGGAGGAAGTGGCACAACGTGTTTCAAGGACTAAAAGAATAGTCAGGAGTGCCTGGGTGGCTCAGTCGGTTGAGTGTCTGCCTTTGGCTCATGTCGTGATCCAAGGGTCCTGTGATTGAGCCCTGCATCAGGCTCCCTGCTCGGCAGTAAGTCTGCTTCTCCCTCTCCCTTTGCCCCTACCCTTGCTCATTCATTTTCTCTCTCTCTCTCAAATAAATAAAAATCTTAAAAAAGAAAAAAGGTAAGAACAATCAACTGCAAGTTCTGTATCTGGTAAAACTATCCTTCAGGAATAAAGGGAAAAATAATGACATTCATAAAAAAAAACTAAGAGGATTTGTTGCTAGCAGATATACTCTTAGAGAAAGGCTTAAAGGAAGCTCTTCCAAAAGGTAAGATACCATTACAGGAGGAGGCTTGGAATTTCAGAAATGAAAGAACAATGAGAACAATGGAACGGATAAAAAATAGGGGTAAATATAAGTGGACTATCCTCATGAATTTTAAAAATCATACCCTGATGATCGAAGCAAAAATTACAGTACCATCTGATGTGGTGCTTGATGTATGAAAAGGAAATACCTAAGACATTCTGTGTAAAAAGTGGGGAGGATAAAATATCCTAAATGGAAGTAAGCAAAGCCATATATTCAAAAGTAAAAAGTCAAAATGGAATTTTTAAAAATGTTCAAGTAGCCCATAGGGGAAGGCAATAGAAACAGGGAACAAATAAAAAAAACAGAGCCGCCCTCTGTGCCCTTCTTGCTGACCCCATGCTCCAGTTCCTGCTTGGATTTACTTTTGGCACCATGGTTGGAATGTATCTGGCTCAGAACTGTGACATATCACACCTGGCTAAAGAACTTGGAGAAATTAAAAAGGACTTGGATGCCAAAAAGAAACCTCCTAGTCATGAAATGGGCTCTCAAACTACCTTCTGGATATTCTGATTCTTCTGTTCTTGAGGGCCTCTTTACCATCTGAACCACAGGTTTTTGTTTTAAATTCCAGCCTCAGTGATTTTCCTCTCTGTTGAATCCTGCATGCCCTGGGAGCACAAATGGGGCCATGAGTTAAGAACTGTGCTTTTCCAGCATTCTCACCTCTTCCTTTCCTCTTTCCAGCCACTTGAGATGGCCTAAGATGGATTTACGATGCTAGATTAGTAAATGTGACCTTTAATTAATAATGTCTCCTTCATTCTTTGGGATTTCTACCACCTTTTTTTTTAAAAGAAAAATGGATGAGTTTTATGTAGCTGGTCAGATTTAAACAATGCCGATTACATGGTATAGCAATTATAATGGATGCTTAAACATTTGGTATTAATGTTGTTTCCAAGTAATTAAAATTGAAGTCCAGAGGGGAAAAAAAAACAAGTAATAAAATGGCAGTATAAGCCCTAGCCTATCAGTAATAAATTTAAATGCAAGTAGTCTAAATATTACAACTAAAAGGCAGAGATTGAAAGAATAGTTTGTTTAAAAATTACTGAAGTACACGCTGTCTACAAGAAATGCATATCAATTATAATGACCATAGATACACGGTTGAAAGTAAAAGATGGAAAAAGATACATCATGTTAACATTAAATTTTTTAAGTGGCTATATTAATATCAGACAAAGTGAACTTTAGAGCAAAGAATAAAGAATCAGTTCATCAGAAGACGGAGCAATTCTAAATGTATATGCACCAAAAAGCAGAGCTTCAAAATGTATATGATACAAAAAATGATGGAGCTGATCGGAAAAATAGATAAATCCATAGTTATGGTTCTATAGACTGGACTTCTATATCCCAGTCTAAGCAATTGATATAACTCTTGGACAGAATATTAGCAAAGACAAAGAATAACTTAACAATACCATCACACAACAAGATCCAGTTGACATTTACAGAAATTCCACCCAACAACAAAAAAATTGAATATATATTCTTTTCAAGCACCCAAGGAATATTTGCCAAGATGGACCCTAGGTCATAAAACGAACTTCAATATATCTAAAAGATTAAAATCATACAGAATATGTTGTATGGCCATAATGGGAGTGTAAAGATTGGTGTATGGCCATAATGGAATCAGATTAAAAACCAATAATTAGACCACAGGAAAATCTTTAATCATTTGGAAATTAAAAGTACACTTCTTAATAATCCATGGATCAAGGAGGAAGTTATCACAGGGAAATTTTAAAATAAAATAAGGGCATTTGGGTGGCTCAGTTGGTTAAGTGTCTGCCTTCAGCTCAGATCATGATCCCAGGGTCCTGGGATAAAGCTCCGCATTGGGCTCTCTGTTCCTTCTCACCACTCATGTTCTCTCTCTGAAATAAATAAAGATAAAATCTTTTTTTTTTTTTTAAGATTTTATTTATTCATGGGAGACACAGAGAGGCAGAAACATGGGCAGAGGGAGAAGCAAGCTCCTCACAGGGGGCTTGATGAAGGACTCTATGTGGGACTCAATCCCCGGATCACGACCTGAGCCAAAGGCAGATGCTCAACCACTGAGCCATCCAGGCACCTCAAAAGATAAAATCTTTTTTAAAAATTACCAATATGGTTGGTAAACCTAGAACAAAATTGCCAAAGATAAAAATAATCCACAAACTACTAACAACAGGAATAGGGGATATCACTATGGCCATTAAAAACATAGAAATGAATAGCAGCAGAATCTTTACACCACCAGATTTTAAAATTTAGCAGAAATTACTTGGAAACCACAAATTACATAACTCACCCAAGATGAAAGAGATAACCTGAGTAACCATTAATGAAATTAGATTTTTTAATTAAAAAGTTCCTGAGGGATTCACTGTGGGGGATCACCTTATATTTAAAGAATAATTAACACCAGTTTTACACATTCTCTTCCAGAAAATGTTAGAGGAGGGAATACTTCTCATTCATTTTATGAAGTGTGTATTTGTCTGATACCAAAACAGGACAAAGACAGTACAAAACAAACACAGGACCAGTATCTCTCATGACTTAGATGTAAAATATTAACATCACTTCGAGCAACATAATAAAAATAACTATACACAACAGCCCAATGGAATTTATCCCAGATAGACATGGCTGGCTTAGTAATCAAAAAACCAAATCCACATAATCCATATCAACAATCTAAAAAAAATTCATAAGCACAGAAATGCTCTCAACAAAACCCTACACCCATTTATGATAAAACACTCATCAAAGGTTAGAAAAACTTTTCTCAACTTGATCAACTTAATCTACAAAAAAGCCTACTGTAATATCACATTTAATAGTGAAATACCAAGTGCTTTCCCCCATAGACTGGGAAGAAGGCAAGGGTGCCTTTTCCTACCACAGCTACTTAATAGTTATTCTGGGAGTTCTGATTAGCACAACAAAGTAAAAAGAAATAAAAGAGCATATAGATTAGAAAGGAAGAAGGAAATCTGGCTCTTTTTGCAGATGCCATGATTGTATCGAAAATTCCAAGGAATCTACCTAAAAAATCTCCTAGAACCAATAAGTAATTTCAGCAAGGTCACAGGATGGAATTAACTACATTTCCATATACTAACAGTGACACCATTTTCATAAAAATCCTGTGCATCAATGTTTATAGCCTCAGTAGGTGAATAGTAAAACTGTGCTAGAGCCAGATTGGGGAATATGGTCAGCAATGAAAGGAAACTAATTGCTGATCCATGCAACAACACTGATGCATCTCAGAAGCATTATGCTGGGTGAAAGAAGCCGAACACAGAAGGGAACATACTGTATGATTCCATTTATGTAATATTCTTGAGATAATGTTCTAGAGATGGAGAGCAGATTAGTGGTTGCCAGAGATTTTAGGATTAGAAAAGGGAGGGGGAGGTGGCTCTAAAAGGGTGACACGAGGGAGCCCGGTGGTAATGGCACACTTCTCTGCCCTGATTGTTAGTAGTGGTTACGTAAAATTACACGTGCTAAAATTGTATGGCACTGTGTATCTGCGCACGTGTACACACACACACTCTCACACAGGTGAGTGCATGGAGAACTGGAAACATCTGAGTAAGCTCTGTGGCTTGCACTGAAATCAGTGTCCTGGTTTTGATAGTGTGCTGTGCTTAGGCAGGAGGTAGTGTCAGGGGAGGCTAGGTGCAGTGTACACAGAACCTACCTCCCTGTACACTTCTTTGCAACTTCTAGTGACTCTAATTTCTTCAGATCAGTGTTTTAAAATGTTTAAAATAAAGCCTCCCATCCACTTAGGTCTGTGCCCCACTACTCTGCAAATTAAGTTCCTTCCAAAGGCCTTGTCAAAATGCACGCACAAGTGTATTTTCATTAGAAATGTATTTTGCCCCCATCCCTTCTCTAGACAAACGGATTTCATGGTATCTTACTTTCCTGTGCCTTCCTTTTATTCTTCACTTAATAGAGATTGTTCCACGTTAGTCATGCTTCATTTTTTCAGATGCAGAAATTACACTGTCGTTTCTTCCATGATGCTTTAATCTTGTTTCTATTAACAGACTTCCAGGGTGTTTTCGTTCTGTGCTGTTAGATACAATGCTCTGATGAAGACCTTCACATTTGCTGTTTTGCTGCTGTGTGAATATACTTCTAAAACAAATTTCTGGAAATTGGATATCTGGATTAGAATTTATCTACACTTCACTATCTAATCTTCAGAGCCACCGCAAGATTGCCCTGCATGAGAATTGTACCAGTCCATGCTTACCAACAGCAAATATCCTTATTTATTCCCAGAGCCTGTTTTAACTTCTGACAATATGTTAGGTTAAAAATGGCATCTCATTGTGGTTTTAATTTTCATTTCTCTGAAACATTGGCCATCTTTTATTATTTCCAATTTGTATTTTGATTTATACTTCTTTTTCTGTAGCCTGTGTTCATACTCATTGGGCCATTATTCTAGTGGGTTGTTGGCTTTTATAGGAGTTATCGATTTATAGGAGTAATTCATATAATAAGCTCTTTGTCTTTGATGTGATGTTGAATAGTTTTTCTCCTGTTTATTGTCTGCCTTCTGACTTTTCTTATCATTTTCCTTTTTTTAGGCTATGTTGAAATTTTTTTCTTTTTAAAATTTTTCCTTAGTCAAACTGATTTTCTGTGGCTTCTGGATTTTATGCCATATAGAAAGGTCTTTCCCACAGCCAGATTATAAATTGCACGGTATTTCAATGCATTCAGGTGTAGCCCTATTGAGATCTGGAGTTACGTCCCCACAGTGGTGCAGCTGGGCATAGCCTTAGGGTCTGATTTCATGGGTCTCCTCAGCCCTGTTGGAAATCTGGGTCACCGCAAGAACCAGATCAAGTTAATCTCGCATCCTCCATAAAGTGGTGCTTTACAGGGAAAGGAAGTAAGGGGAGGACATTGGATGATCTCTGGCTCTTAGCCCATCTTTCAGCAACCTTTATTCTAAGAGATAAACTCCAGTAGAAGAGGTTTTTGTCGCCTCTGTGCTCGGGGAGTTAGTGGTTGGGTGACAGAACCCCTTTGTTAGTCTCCAGGGAAGGGAAACCAAACTTTAAGGGCTGTCTCCTTCCATTGGTCATTTGTGCCAATCCCACTTAGGTTGCTTCTCCACGGGGACAGGCTGCCTGACTCTCTGGAATCTAAAACGGTCTTGTCACAGTGAGAGGGACTTGGGAGTGTTGTCTACATTACAGAGCACAGCCCTGTGGATTTTCTTCAGAATGGAGTGCTAGTAGTCACTGGTCTGTCTCTCCTAAGACTTGAATTTTCGAAATAAGTACAAAAAACATTTGCTTAGCATAACTTTACCCTCACTTAGGAATAAGTAAGCCAGAAGAAGGACGGCCTGCTGGGAGTGTGACCGGAAATGACATCACCACCCCTCCGAACAAGGAGCTCCCACCAAGCCCGGAGAAGAAGACAAAGGTAGTCCCCAGAGTGGTGGGTTGTCTTCTCCTTCTACCATTTTTAAAAACAGTATCTTCTGCTATTATTGCTTGAATCATGAATGAAATTTCTTTTTTTCTGAGCTATTAGTAACCCTTCCCCAATTTTGGACATTTCTAGAAAATATTCATATTTTGCCATAGTAGCCTAACTCAGTCCTTAAAATCTCTGCCTTTGACCCCATTATCTTGAATCCGTGTAGAAATGTTCTGTAGAGGTTGTTTCTGCTTCCCTTAACAACAACAATAAAGGGATTTGCAAAACTATTCAGAAATAGATTCTGAAATCTGCATTCGTGAAAAGAGAACACGGGTTTTTAAGGCGGATCAAAGCTTCAGACACTTACTGATAACTCATTGGAGAGTACAAATGCCACACTTCAATGTGGTCCCAGAACCATGCTGATGTTGCCCCACAAGGCACAAATAATGACAGTGTTAATCACCTGCTGGTGACTTCAGAGAATTATTGCAGCCATCAGAAGTTAGTTAATTGTTTAAAGTTGTTACTGAATTTAAGTCTTCAGTTAACTGAATGAACTACTGGAATTCGTGACACTGCCATTAAGAACGCATTCCCAATTTTCTCTATCCTTCTCATGGCTTCTTTCCGCTCTTTACCAAGCTCAGAAGAACAGAATGCTGCTTTTCAGTTGCATATATCCTCATTGCTTATGATTTTACTTTGAATTGTGCAATTTATACTTTTTTTAATTTGTTTTTATTTTTGTCTGTGTGTTTGATGTTGGCCTTTAAACAAAACAAAACAAAACAACAAATCAACTTAAAGCCTTTGGCCACCACTCAACCTGCCAAGACTTCAACATCGAAAGCCAAAACTCAGCCCACTCCTCTCCCTAAGCAGCCGGCTCCCACCACCTTGGGTGGGTCAAATAAAAAGCCCATGAGCCTCGCTGCAGGCTTAGTGCCGGCTGCCCCGCCCAAACGCCCTGCTGCCGCCACTGCCAGGCCTTCCACCTTACCTTCAAAAGACGCAAAACCCAAGGTGAGTAGCCACCAAAGCCCTGTGCCAGGGAAACCATCTCCCCTCCTAGGGCCTGATCCCTCTCATTGCTGCCGGGCAGTGGAACCAAGCAGGTGGAATGGGGGAAGGAGAGGAAGGAGACTTGAAAATCTTGAGGGCCCTCAGGGCATCTGTAGTCTCTGAAGGCCTTTCAGACTTTGTACCTTTCCCTGCCCTGCTCCGAGGCAGTACTGCATCTGCTTACGTTTCTTTTCCTTTCCCCCAGTTCTTCCTTACTCTTCCTGTTTGAACACTTGATAGCCATTTTGGCCTACTCCGCATACTGTCGGGTACTCTTTTTGGTGTAAGTTCCCACATCATATTCCCCAGATTTGGTTCCTTGTCTTTCTCTTTAATCCTCCTGCAGAAGTGAGTTTTTGCCTGTTCCTTTTTTGAATAAGGTCTTCCAGCTGATCTCTGTAGATTTCAACAACGTGTGACAACTTCATTTGCTCTTGACAGTGGGCCTCTCTCACTGGACTCTCTCTGCAGTTCCTCAGTTTTCCAGCTCATCCGCATATTACTGCCTAGAAACTGGTCCATTTGGAGTGACAGTGGCTTCACAGGATTGTTCTAGAAGAGCAGGTGGAGTCTATGGCCACCTTCCTTAACGTTTTGTTTGAGAAGAGCCTTTCAGTCAGCTTGGTATTGTTCTTTCAGTACATGGTGGGCAGTAGTTCTCCCCGTTAAAATGTTAGCATATCATCTAATCGTGTAAAGAAAATTAGTGGGGATGCCTGGGTGGTTCAGCAGTTGAGCGGCTGCCTTTGGCTAGGGGTGTGATCCTCAGGTCCCGGGGTTGAGTCCCACATCGGGCTCCTTGCGTAGAGCCTGCTTCTCCCTCTGCCTGTGACTCTGCCTCTCTCTCTCTCTCTCTCTCTCTCTCTCTCTCTCTCTCTTTCTCTCTCTCTCATGAATAAATAAATCTTTAAAAAAAAGAAAGAAAATTAGTGGAACCTAAAAATTGTAGTCTAGGGTTGGAACCTGACAAAGAAATTGAGAAATCTTGTCATAGACTAAGAATGCTAAAATATATAGCTTTCTGACCCTCATTTGCCCAGTTGACTGCTTTTCTTGATCATGAGAAGACAATTTGTTTGCATAAGAGGGCAGAGGGAGGGCACCTGGGTGGCTGTCGTTTCATTTAAGTGTCTGCCTTCAACTCAGGTGACCCCAATGCTGGGGTCCTGGGATCAAGCTGGGGCTCTCTGCTGGCGGCCAGGGGTGTCAGTTTCTCCCTCTCCCTCTGCCCCTGCTCTCTCTTTCTCTCTTGAGTGTGCTCTCTCTAATACATAAATAAAGTCTTTAAAAAGAGCGTGGATGTAGGGACACACCTGGGTGACTCGGTTGGTTGGGCGTCTGCCTTTGGCTGAGGTCATGATCTCAGGGTCCTGGGATTGAGCCCCCATGTTGGACTCCCTGCTACACGCAGAGTCTGCTTGTCTCCTCTATTTCTGTCCCTTCCCACTGCTCCTGCCCTTTCTCTCAAACAAATAAGTAAAATCTTAACAAAAAAAATAAAAATAAAAAAGAGGGCAGAGAGAGAGTGACTGAAGCCCTGGCACAGCAAATCCTGAGGCAGACAGAAGGGGGCTGAGGAAGGCGAGAAGGTCTCTTGAAATTTCACTCTGCAGTAGTAACAGTGAACTATACTGTACTGGTTCCTGTATATATGTTAATTCCTTTAATTCTGTCTCTCAACAACCCATGATGTGGGTATTAGTATTCTCATTTTATAGCTCAGCAAAATAGCCTTGCTAAGGTCCAATGCTAATAGGTGGCAGAGCCAGTATTTGAACTTGGGGCTGACTCCCAACACTGATGCTAAGGGCATCTGGCAACACTTCTTTCATGGCTTTTGCTATACAGCTTTTAGACAGCTGTAGCTTTGAGATACAGCTTACCTGAAAAAGTAATCTGCATTCCAGTTATTACTGTTGTTTGTTTTTTAGGTAAGAAACAGATGAAAATATTTTGAGAGATTGATTAAAAACTAAAGTCTAATGAAATTTATTTTTATCCTTATTTTGGTAGATTGAAGAAGCAAACAAAGGGGGGAAATTTATTTAGAAAAAATAAGTAGATCCAGGATTCCAGTAGAAAAGAAAATTTAAATTGAGAAATAGTAGAGTAACTCCAGTTAGGAAAGCAGGCTGTTCTTGCTGAAGCCAAAAGCCTGATGTCACATTTTTTAGAGCTATCTATCCCAAAAACCTTTTTTCCAGCTTATTTTACCACTATTATTAGCAAAAGAAGACCCTACTAGATTATTCTGAATCATGGTCCTAATACTGAGAATTTGAAGGAGACCTCAGAAGAGTATCTGGTTTATACTCAGATCTTACAGCAGACAGGAGGGAATCCCCTCTACACAAAATCCTGCGATCTATTCTGAACAGAGCTGGTAGCTGAGCTAGTTCCTCCACTTCCAGCCTTAGGGTTCTTCCTACCGTACTAAGGGGCTTCATTTGTAGAAATGGTCATTAGCCTGCCTTTTCAGGGTTAGACTCTAATTAGATGCCAGCCCTTAATTTCTGAGCACCTCCTTAGCTGATTTTCCATTTAAGCTGTATCCTGCTCATCTCCACTGACATATACTACCCTGTGTGGCCATTTCTCTTAGAGTAAAAGAGCTAGACACACTGTGTCTGTGCTTTGTCTTATTCTCGTGAGTAACCTGGAACTCCTTTCTACTCCTGTAAAAGGAAACAAGCTAAATTGATTCCTTCCCTTCGTTACTAGTGACGACATGCCCAGCCTCCATGAAAGACGAGCTAGAGTGACCCTGATGCCAAGTATCTGCACTTGAGAGATTTTCCTTTAGTGCTCTCAATCATGACTGTGACATCAGTGCTTCTCATTCCCTCTGGTGGTCAGGCCTGCCCCCTCCACCCACCATGTATTATCCCTGTGCTCTCAGAGACTTCTCTTCCTCTAGTCTCTAACACTACATAGCATCAAAGCTGGTCCCCAGAGCTCTGTTCCGACCTCTTTTATCCAACTGAAGAAATAAAGCCCAGAGAGGCCTTGTGATTTGCCCAGGAACACACTGTGAGCTGGGGGCCCAATAAGGGTTGGAGCTCAGACTTCTGATCTGACTGGTTAGGCCAACATTCTCACCATTTGCAGCCCTAACCCAGCATTCCCTGGGTACATCTTAGCCAAAAGAATGACTGAATTTGAACATAATTTTTATTTTTTTGTGTTGTTTACACATTTATCTTTAGTCAAGTAATTAAATACTGATGTATTTAATGTATTTATTTGTTTATTTATTTATTTATTTTATTTAATGTATTTAAATACATTAGATCCTGAGATAAACTTCATTTGCGATGTGGTCTCTGTTTCTGGTTTTGTTCATTCTCACTGGTTCAGGTTGTATTGAGATAGACTCCCCAATTCCTGACTCCAGCTAACACAGCACCCTGCATGGCCCGCCTCTCACTTTGTCTGAAGGACTTAGATGTTAGAGCAGCATAGATTACTTACAATCAGTAAGTGCCAAATCCACAGTAGTTCTGTTTTCTGGTGTCCTCTAACGTGACCTCCTGGGGCTCTTGGTGACCTGTAGCTCTTATTCCCACTTCCCTGTTACCAGCCTATTGCAGAGGCAAAGATTCCTGAGAAGCGAGCCTCGCCATCCAAGCCAGCCTCTGTCCCGGCCCTCAGGCCTGGCTCCAGGGGCACCCAGACTGTTCCAAAAGCCACAGCTGCCACCAGTCCTGCCTCTGCGGGGTCAAGCAGCAGGAGCCCTCCCACACCTGTGCCCAAGAGGCCCACTGGTGAGTACTGTCACCCTTCGCCCCCATGGGAACTAGTGGGGAGAAAGGTGAGGCCTTGGCTTTGCCCAGCCCCAGCTCCAGCCAGCGTCACAGAAGGCCCTGCATCTGTTTGTGCACTAGTCCTTAATGGGGTACACTAAAAATTGGATCCTTGATCTCCACACAAGGCTAGCAATTATGTATATTCAGAAAATTCTTGAGTAAAAGGGATTCTCATGGACTCCCAGATAGGAATTACTGTCCCTTTCTTGGTAACTTCACAATACTCAGCACATCATGGTCATGGGCTTACCTAATAGAAAAGAAATGGTTCAGTGCCACTGGTGTATGCTGAGAAGCCACTTCCGAGACCATGTGGAAGGCACGTGCAAGGCTGGAGAAAAGAATGAGATAGAATGCATGGCCACGTATGTTCCAGAAGGGCATGGTCTTCACCCTTTACTCCACATTTATTCCCAGAGACTAGCACAGCTTGTGGCCCAAAAGGGACCTCCAGTAATTGTTGAATGGATGAATGAGTGAATCTTAGGATTAGATGAGCCACTCACTAGGTCAGTTTGTTAAACATTTAATGTTCAAAAGTGTATGTTTGTGCAGCTGTCAAGACTGAAGGAAAACCTGCAGACATGAAGAAGACAGCTACAAAGTCTGCACCAGGTAACACCCCATCCCCCACTTTGTGGAACCCCAATAGAAACCCCTACCTCTCTGTGGCTGTAAGGCTCCCTTCTGCTCTCTCCTCCTGAACCCGTGTTATCTCTCACTCCTACCTTTGCAGCTGACTTGAGTCGCACCAAGACCACCACCACCACCAGTTCCGTGAAGAAGAACACTACTGTCCCTGGGGCAGCCCCCACGGCAGGAGTGGCTCCCAGCCGAGCCAAGCCTACACCTCCGCCTTCCCGGCCCTCTGGGACTCCTTCCTCAGACAAGAAGCCCATGTCCACCAAGCCCAGCTCCTCTACTCCGAGGCTGAGCCGTCTCTCTACCAATGCTTCTGCCCCTGATCTGAAGAACGTCCGCTCCAAGGTTGGCTCCACGGAAAACATCAAGCACCAGCCTGGAGGAGGCCGGGTGAGTGTCCAGGTGGCCGGGGGCCTTCAGCATGCTGGCCCTTGCTACTTCCCCTGCCACACCCACCCGCTATTCCCCAGGCATGTCCTCACATCAGCCCAAGGCACCCACAGAAGAGGAAGGGCAGTCAAGACATCGGATTCAGTGCCAGAGTCATTCAGCCTGGGCTCCAAGTCCAGCTGCGGGCTTTCTCTTCCTATCTCCATCAGAGGAGCTCCTGTTCTGGACTTTGGGGTTTAGGCTTACATTTTTGTTTGGAAGCAAAAGGGTTCTTTTACTTAGTAACAAGGCAACAGGGGAGGACTGTAAGATGGTGTGAAGGTGAGAGATGTGCTCCCTACCCCTGTGCTGTTTGAGTGGCAAGTGCTGTAAGAGGTGGGAGCCTTGACTTAGGCAGGCGGCTGCCTGAGGGAGGACAGGGTGTCCTCTCATGGCTGGGATGACTCGCTGCTGCAGGCCTCCTACTTTCCTAATTGGCAGGGCTGCCCTGGAGAGTCGCCACGGAGTGCAGCAGGGCAGGCCCCTGTGCTTCACGAAGCTCAAGGATTTTCTGGTTGTATCTACCCCAGAATTATTTGTCAGCTATTAGCAATGATGGGAGGTAGTGGCAAAAGTCCCAGTTTAAGTCCTTGGAGCAGTAACCTTCTCATTTCCTATGTGATTTTCTCGCACTTAAACCACCACCTCCCACTCGGTAGGATAGCTTAAATCGCTTCAACCCAGAGCCTTTAAAAAATTGAATGGGGCCCAAAATGAGGAAGAATCCTGGTACTTTGGGAAGACACTGGGATTAGTCTGGACTAAGCCCCTGACAGTGGCTTTTGCTAAGAAGCTGTGGCTCTGGCATACCCAGTGCATGACCCCATCTCCCCCTTCCTGTACTCCTCTAATGCTTTCCTTGGACAAAAGTTACAAGTAGTCTTGGTGGGGAGTCAAGTGACTTGGCCTGGTGATGAAATTCTTTTCTGTTCCAACATACCTGAATAGTGTGATTCTTCCCATCTTCAGTAGTGGCTCCCTGTTGACTATGGCAGCTTGCGTGGGGACATCTGAGTGGGAGGGCATTGTGATTGAAAAACAGGCACTCAAAATCACTAACTTAGTCCTCCTTCCCACCTTCTCTCTGAATGGCGTTTTAAACTCTTCCTCGGGTCTCAAGACTTTGGTCTGCAGCTCCTTCCCCTGGCTGGTCCTCTCTGGGAAATGGTGGTTTTTTTCGGTAGGAGCAAGGATGACCTGCTTCTGCCTGGTGGCCTGGCCTGGATTTGAGTCCCCTACAGCTTTCTTCCCTTCTTGGCATTTGGGCTCTTACCCTCTTGGTTTGAAACATGCCCTCCCTTTATCTCCATCCAGGCCAAGGTAGAGAAAAAAACAGAGGCATCTGCTCCGGCTCGAAAGCCTGAACCTAACGCAGTCACTAAAACAGCTGGTCCCATTGCGAGTGCACAGAAACCACCTGCTGGGAAAGTGAGTTTTATTTAGACTTTTACCTCTGGAAGGTAAAAGATGATAAACTGTTTCTTCCGGCCTAAGTCACTTTCCCTTCTATTGCACTTTTTTCCTGTCCTTAACTGGTTTCTACTTTGCCCCCGCATTCCCTCCTCTTTGTCAGATGACTCAGCCATCAGAAAAATTTTTGTATTAGCCCTGACAGTAACAGAGTTGGGAGCCCATTACCCTTTGGGGAATACTCATTCAGCTGGATAAAATGGATCCAAAAACCTTCAGCCACTTCCTTCACACTGACCTTGATGTGAAACCCCACCTGTTTCATATGTAAAAATACACACCATGAGCATCCGGATTCTTCTACAGTGAGACATGGTGTTGGCTAGTTCCAGCCCCAGGAACCCTGGAGCACTGGTGCTTTATATTGACCTAGGAGGCCCCTTTCATAACATGCTGGCTGTGGAGATAGCTTCATTTGCCCTGGTTCCCCATGTCACCTCCTCACCTAAAGTTCAGGAGCTCATTCCCACCAGAAACCCATTCAGCCCAGGGATTGTACAGGTAAGCGGAAACTCTAGGTTCTTTCCTCTTGCCTCCACATCTTGGAACTAAGCCCCTCCTGCTTGCTATGGGAACCTTCTTCCCTTAGCTGTGGCAAGTAGGTGATCTCTCAGCCCAAGGAGTTGATACAGTCGATGAGCTTTTGAGGGGACTCCTCCTAGAGGCCCTGTGGGTCTCAGGTTTAGAGCAGGGTTTCATTAGGAAAAGGTTTGTTAACCAGTTATTTATCACTTACATTGTACAGAAGGTGTGAAATAGTAAGGATTGGAGTTGGAATTTCTTGGGGTAGATTACTCTGTGGAAAACTCTTCAGCTTGGGGCCTGCTTCATTTGTGAAGAGCTCTGAGGCAAAGGAAGGAAGGAAGCTGGCAACTGTTTCTTTTTCAGAAGGCTCAAAGAGAATTCTTTGTCCCTGCCCTTAGAGCCTGGGCCTTTGTGTGGCTGCATTCCAGGGGGAGCCATTCATAAGCACTACAGCATTGAGGTGTATGTGCCCCACCCCCACCACACGCCCGCCCGCCCAATTAGACATCACTGCAGCTCTGCTTGAAGCCCGTTCTCTTTGCTCATGAAATTCACAGGGAACAGGATTGGACATCTGGTGGATAGAAGGAAGTGTTTGACCCTTGAGTTGAAAAAAAAAAAAAAATCTAGACCAGAAGCTCACTGGTCCTGTGCTTTCTTGAGCCCCCAGCCCCAAGACAAACAGGCTGCTTGTGGAGTGTGGCACTGCTGAGGCTTGGCCTGTGCTCCCCCTGGTGTCCTGACTATGCACGGCAGCTCCAGCAGCCTCTGTTCTGTTTGCATTTGTACCTAAGCTCTGATGTCCCTTCTTTCCTGCAGCAGATCTGTGCCCCTGGAGCCAGCTGCCCAGTGCTTCTCAGAGCAGCCTTTCCTCCCATAGAGGGTCTGGCTGCTGCAGTTCCCAGGCCCAGATTTAAGGGAAGTGCCAAACTTGGGTGAGGACCATTCCAGATGAGCAGGACCCTCACATAGAGGAGTGGCCAGCACTGCCGTGGCTCTCAGGGAGGGAGCAGGCGGGTGCAGGGGCAGGGCTGCTGCTGGCTGGGCCTGGTGAGCCACAGCCCAGCCCCAAGGAGCAGTGAGGAGGACCCCATAGCCCTTCAGCATCTGCTTCTGTCCTTGTGTCGTTTGTTCCTGTCTTCACTCCCTTTCCTACTTCCTTCAGATCACTTCCACTGTGCTTCCCCACTGCCATTCTGCTGCAGCTGGGGGCAGAGCTGTAACAGCACTCTTTGTCAGTCACTGTGATCACGTGTGGACTCACTGCCTGCCCTGTGTTGGTTCTAACCAGCCCTCTCCCTTTGTGTTGTTTTTTTTTTCTGTTCTCTAACACTCCAGGTCCAGATAGTCTCCAAAAAAGTGAGCTACAGCCATATTCAGTCCAAGTGTGGTTCCAAGGACAATATTAAGCATGTCCCTGGAGGTGGTAATGTAAGTATGAGCTCTGGACAGCTGGTGTCTAAGGCCCAGCCTCTGGTGGGCACAGAGGGGAGAAGACCACCTGCCCTCGCTCACTGGGACACGGCAGCCTGGCCCAGGCCTTGTTTCTAGATGCTGGCTAGTGGAGTGAGGGGAGGCCTCCATGCTCCGGTGTGTTTAGATGACTGTTTCTAGGAAATCCTTCAATGTAATAAGCCGGTGACGCTCACTTGACATCTTCTCACCTATCTTCCCCATCTGCTCTCCTCCCCTCTTCCCCTTTTGTGAATCCGTCCTCCTTTTACTCCCTCAGCTGTCCTTTTCTCTTCGGCCCCTTCTTCCATCCAGATGTCCTTTCATCATGCTGCCCTCCTGTGCCAGCCCTAAGCTCTGTTGGGGACACAGGTGACTCTGGCACCCAGGGAGGCCCTGGCCTAGTGGTAAAGAACAGCCTGTTGGCTCTCCACGTGTCCCTGTGACAGTGCCCGGGCAGGTGGGACTCCAGCACATGCTTCCTTCCCCGCCCTAGAGTGATGGAGCCCCTCCTGCCCAGTCTCCCTTGGCTTCATTCGGTTCCTTCTCCCTATTGCCCTGAACTGGACTGAGTCCTGCTCCACTCCTCTTTTCCATTTTCAGGCTGGGTCCCTCCTGCCCCCTCAGCCATCCTGCCCATGGCTCACAGTCTCCCCACCCAGTAGTTCTGTTGTGAGGGATCAGCCTCATGTCCCTCTCTTGCCCCATACAAGTTCCCTCACAGCACCTCCTTCTAGTCACTTCCCCTCCAGTGGCATTCCTGCCATGGACAGAAACTGCGTCCTGACACGGAGGTTGTGCCCCTGCCTGGCTTGGTAGGTGGCCAGACGTGAGCCAGCCTGGTGTGGGATCAGCTGAAGTGGGTGAAGCGTTTAAAGACAGTATCTGGTTCAGGTGATAGAGATCCAACTTATGAGGGACCCAGGTAGGCATCGGCTTTAGATTTTTCGGCCTAGATGAAAGCAGGAGGTGAGCAGGGGACCCTGAAGGAACTGGTCCTTGTGTGTGTGACAGAAATGCATTTAGTGTGGTGTGTGGTGCATGTATGAGCATCATTTATCACCTGCTGCGGTCTTCCTACAAAGCTTACACATGACTTCCAAGATTATTTTTAAGATTTTTTTTTTTAAGATTTTACTTATTTATGAGAAACACAGAGAGAGAGAGAGAGAGAGGCAGAGACCTAGACCGAGGGAGAAGCAGGCTCCCTGCAAGGATTCCGATGTGGGACTCAATCTGGGATCCTGGGATCATGCTGAAGGCCGATGCTCAACTGCTGAACCACCCAGGTGTCCCTAAGGCATTTATTTAAAAATATTTTTAAAAATTTATTTGAGAGAGAGTGCATGGGGTGAGGGCTGGGGGAAATGACCAAGCAGGGGGCAGAGGGACAGGCAGACTTCGCGCTCACTGCACAGCCTGATACGGGGCTCGATCTCACGACTTGAACCGAAATCAGGAATCAGCCGCTGAACCCGGGCACTCTGTAAGCATTTTATTGTAGGAGGCTCCCTTTAGACAGAGGCATTAGGAAGTGGCCTGGGAGAACAGTATTTGCATGTGGGAAGAGGAGAATGAGCAGCCTGGATTGTCCTTCTTTCCCTCTTCCCCTACATAAAGCCACCACAGATAAACAGGCCATGGACAAAGAGCAGGCCCGCTGTGCACGTAGAACAGGGTCACAGGTCACACACAAACTCCGTTTCCCCCTGGGTGGAGATTCTGAGGCTAACACCCAGAGGAGTGGATCCTGGAGCAGGATCCCAGCTAGTGCTCCAGAGTGCCCTGTGTACATGCATGTGTCCTCCTCGAGAGCCAGCAGGACATGAGGGCAGGGAATGTAGCAGGTTTAACCCTGATTTAAGATGTTGTGGCCATTTTTTCTTCCATTTCATCCTCGTGAGGGGAGACGTGTGTGTGAAGGGTTCTAGACCTGGCGGCTGTGTCATTTCTGCAGCCTGTACCACTGTGTCCAGCAGGCTCGAGGTGTCACAGGCCAGTGGGGCAGACTGAGTAGCTAGAGCGAGGTACAGGGGATGCCGGGGTTGGTGGTGCAGTGAGAGGACTGCAGAGGTGGCATGGCATGGCTTCTGCTGGCCATCAGGCTTCGCTGGGGGAAGACATCTGAGAAATTCATGTCCTAGGCCAGGGAAGTGGCACATAGCTCCCTAAAGCATCAAGCACAGGTGAGTGGCCAGGGGAGGATGCTGCCAGGGTGTGAGTGGGATTGTCTAGAATGGACTGTGGCTTCTCTGCATACCAGCCTCAGGAAGCAGAGCTACGTCTCATATAGTGGGCCTTGTTAAGTGAGGGTGACATCGTTAAGCTTTTTAAAACTTGCAGCTATAGAAAATTGTTAAATACATACAAAAATAGGGAAAAAAATAACAACGAACTGGATATACCTTTTACCTGGCTTCATTTATTATCCTTGTGGGCAGTTGTTTGTTTTTTTAAAATGTATTTACTTTAAATGATCTCTACACCCAGTGTGGGGCTCGAACCCAGGCCCGGCGATTAAGAATTGCACGCTCCAAGCCAGCCAGGCACCCCTCCTTGTGGCCAATCTTACCTACTATGCATACCCCGCCCCCTGCCCCGACAGTTTTGAAGCTAGGCCTAGATACATCATTCATCTGCAAATATTCCATTTATAACTTCAAAAAGATAAGAACTCTTGAATGTATTGTGTGTGTATATATGTATATGTATGTATGTGTTTGTAAAACTCCCACTGATGTGTTAAAATAGGTTTGCTTATTCAAATCAGGAATACAACTAAGGTCCATAAGTTGTGATTGATGTGTCTCTTGTCTTTTATAATCTTAGGTTTCTTTTACTCTATAGGCTCCCTTCAATTTTTTTTTTTTTTTTTTAGCGGTATTTTTCATGAGTGAACCAAGTAGCTTGTCCCAGAATCTGGATTCTGCTGATTTACATCCCTGTGGTTTCATTTAACATATTCCATTCCATTGTCCCTTGGTATTCTTTACATTGATTCAGGTTTTATTTCTCCCCCACAACCCCCCAGATTTTTGCAGGACTTCCATTGATAGTGGTGGTGTTGTCAGGAGGCACATCATGTTCCACTCTTTGGTTGTGTGTGTGTGTGTGTGTCTCTCTCTCTCTCTCTCTCTCTCTTTCTTTCTTTCTGATGGCCAGTACTTAGATCCATGCATTCAGTAGGGGTGTACTATGGTGAGACTCTAATTATATCAGTCCTTCTTTGCTTATTGGCCAGAGTATATCTGTAAAGCCCAATTTCCCCTAGTCAGCTATTCTTTACTTAAGAACCAGGCAAGAGGTAAAGAAATGGTGGCTTCAGCGGCAGAAGACTGTCTCAAGAAATGTGGGCTCCAGACCTTGGCAAGTGAGCTCCGTACCTCCTCACAGGAGTCTCAGGGATGGCACAGAGGAGTTTGCCACCATTGCTGCGGGTCACAATTGTCTTGGTTTAAGGAGCTGCCAGACATTTGGTTGAGAAAAGTACTTCCCTGTGTTCCCATCTAGAGAGAATTGCAGCCTTGTTCGGAATAGGAGACAAAGCAGAGGTTATTTTGTGGGTGATTGGTACTTTGTAAATGATTACTGAACGCGTGAAGCAGTTAATGTCCTGGTGATGCCGTTGTACCTTCAAGAGATGATGTGGGACATCTGGGTGGCTCAGCAGTTAAATGTCTGCCTTTGGCTCAGGGTGATCCCGGAGTACTGGGATCAAGTCCCACATCGGGGTCCTTGCATGGAGTCTGCTTCTCCCTCTGCCTGTGTCTCTGCCTCTCTCTTTTCTGTCTCTCATGAATAAATAAATTTAAACTCTTTAAAAAACAAAAACAGTTGATGTGAAGAAGAGGTGGAGTGAAATTAGAGCCAGGGAAAGCTTTGAAGAAGGTGACCCTTGAGCTGGCCTTTAAAGGACATGAAAGAGGGACACCTGGGTGGCTCAGCAGTTGAGGGTCTGCTTTCGGCTCAGGGCATGCTCCTGGAGTCTAGGATCGAGTCCAACATTGGGTTCCCTGCAGGAAGCCTGCTTCTCCCTCTGCCTATGTCTCTGCCTCTCTCTCTTTCTGTGCGTCTCTCATGAATAAATAAATAGAATCTTTAAAATAAATAAATAGGGATCCCTGGGTGGCGCAGCGCTTTAGCGCTTGCCTTTGGCCCAGGCCACGATCCTGGAGACCCAGGATCGAGTCCCACGTCGGGCTCCCGGTGCATGGAGCCTGCTTCTCCCTCTGCCTGTGTCTCTGCCTCTCTGTGTGTGTGTGTGTGTGGGACTATCATTAATAAATAAAAATTCAAAAAAAATTTAAAATAAATAAACAAACAAATAAATAAAGGTTGGGAAAGAGCAGTGGGCTCACTAGGCTAAGGAGCAGTATGAGCAGAGAGTGAGAATGGCTCAAGCAAGCTGAAGATTCCGGGAAGTTACTCTGTGGCAGGCCCTGGGTTGTGGGTGGCCATGTAAAAATGCAGTAGGCATCACATATGTTCTCTGGCAGTACAGTGGAAACCATATTTCCTGACACTGAAGAAGAAAAGACTGGGTCCTAGAAAGTAGTCATTGAATGACATTGTGATAAAACCCCACCAGAGGGTGTGCCAGCTGCCGACAGGGCTCCCTGGAGCCCTGCATTAAGGGCCTGACCGCAGTGGAAAGCCAGGCTCTTCCATAGAACCAGGGAACAACTGGGCCACTCATAGGCCAGACCCTGGAGTTTTCATCCCAGAACCCAGTGCCCACCTGTAGATGCATCCTTTCCTAAGTTAAACACATGCCATCGGTCCCCATAGCAAGGTGCTTTTCCAAGGCTTCTTCAGGGCAGACATCATTCAAAGTTTGTTGGCCACCTTAAAAGCCTGGCCAAGTACAGAGGACACCCAAACCAGTCTCCATCCCCAACATGATTCATTTCGGATAAAAGATTATTCATCCTTGTGATTCCTCACCAACTATGGACAGAATGTCAGATGAGCAAAAGGCATTGTAGAGCCTGGAGGCTGTGCTCGGTTGCTGCAGATGTAGGGTTCCAGGCTGCTGGCTTGGGCTATGTGAACATACATGACTGCGCTAGGCGCTGCTCTTTGGGAGAATGAAGTGGCTTGTGCATAAAGTTAGTACCCTTAAATAATGAGCAGAGCAACCAAAACTGAACATTTCCCACATATAAATTAGCACAGTTTTGTTGTTGGTGGTTTGTTTGGATTTTTTTTAAATCATGAGAGAGAAAGAGAGAGAGAGGCAGAGACATAGGCAGAGAGAGAAGCAGGGTCCATGCAGGAAACCCAGTGTGGGACTCAATCTCAGGACTCCAGGATCACATCCTAGGCTGAAGGCAGACACTCAACTGCTGAGCCACCCAGGCATCCCTGTTTTTAAATTTTTTATTTGCATTTATTTTATGCAGTATTTACTCCTGGGCCATAAGTTTTTGTTTCTTCGGTTTCTTCTGGGATATCTTTTTCTTCTGTGCAACCTGCCCTTCTGGTTTAGGAACAATCTGCTCTTTTTCAGTAATGATCATCTGTGCAGCAGGGGAGGGCTCATGAACAGGTGAATCCGACCATATAACTTCTCTGCTGTATCTTTGGGGCTTTGTTCATCTGGATGTGCTCCATGATCAGGGAATCTGCATCTCAACCCTTAAGTTCCACATTACTCTCTGCATTTTTAAGTATGTGTAGAAAAATTCAGCACTCTTTTTGGGCCACCATCCCTGTGTCCAGCCCCGCTGTTTGGCCTGGGCACACCTACCAACTCTGTCACTCTACCATCATGGCAATGGCACAGCACACATTGCTTCTGCAAAGTGACATCTTTCAGATACTTGGTGGCCTACTCTGGAGGGCCTGGGTGGTTTCATATGTGTTCTTAAAGTGAACACGAAGATTTGAAACTCTATTTGCATGATTTTGTAGGGTTTTCTGGGTCAAGTGAATAGCAAACCATTTCCAGAGATCACCTCACACTGCTTACGGGAAGAGCTTATGTTACTGTGTTTAATGGAAATATCCAGTGCTGGGAGGGGATGGTGGGTGCCCATTGTCACATTCCTGGAAAGCAATTAGGCCTTATGCTTAAAGAAGCTTAATACATACAGTCTGAACCTTTGACTAGCTAAATTCTCGGTGTCTTGCTTGAGGGGTCATCAGAATTGCCATGACTTCTATCCACAAAGATGTTTATTGTTGCCATGGTGATTTGTTTTTTAAAAATGTATTTTAGAGTGAGAGAAGAGAGAGGTAGAGGGGGAGAGAGAATCCTAAGCAGACTCCACACTGTGTGCAGAGCTCACAGGGCTCGGTCCTATATCCCCAAGAACACAACCCAAGCTGAAACTGAGAGTCAGATACCCAACCGACTGCACCACCCAGACACCCCTATTGCTGCCATGGTTTTAATGGTGAAAAATCAGAAAAAAATCTAAATGTTCAGTATTAGGCATGAGTTAGGTTTATGTAAGATCTCACAGGGTAGATTATCATGTGGCCCCCTCTTTGCATTTCTCAACTTTTGTGGGGAAATGCTGGTAACATGAATTAAGCAGGGGTGCACGTCATAGATGGATACATTCCTATGCGGTCAGCTAGGAGAGAAGAATGCCCTGGAAAGACCTGGGAGGGGAACACTGAAACATCATTCCAGATTATCTCTGAGCAAGGGGTTTATGGGTGAGATTTCAGGTGGAACAAAATGACATTTCAGGAGATTTGGATCCAGAAAAATGGGAGAAGACCTGCCTGGCAGCTGCACAGCTAGGGCAGGGAGGGAACAGCCTGGCGTGTGTGGGAACATTGGTTTGGTCTGGCTGGAGGTGGGTCCCAAAGCAGCTGGCAGGGCGAGGATGGATTTCCACTTGGGGATATGAGCCTGGCCTTGAGCAGACTCAGATCAGTCCCTTCGCAGGGAGAGGAGAAATCTGAACGTGGAGAAGATTATAAAGGGAACACAGGTTTGGCTCTGAAATACACCCTCTCTCTGAGGCAGTAATACTTTTGTGATTTCTCAGGTTCAGATTCAGAATAAGAAGGTGGACATCTCTAAGGTCTCCTCCAAATGTGGGTCCAAGGCTAACATCAAGCACAAACCTGGTAAGTGCTGTCTGTCCCCCCCCTTACCCCAGCATGCCTGGGGTGTGTGGTCCTGGCAAGGCCCCCAGGTTTCACCTCCATGCTTTTGTCATTCCATAAAGACTCCTGTAGCTGCCCCACCTAGGAGGCAGTGATGGAAAGCACAGGGTTGAGTGCCTGGTGGTGGTGGCAGTGGGGAGGTCTGGGTGCAGACCTCTTAGGTGCACCTGATGAGGGGTGGGCGTCATTGTCTCGAGGACCAGCTGTGTGTGCGGTGCTCCTGGACTGCGTGTCAGGAGCTGATGCCACAGGAGTTGTCAGATTAGCAGGGGCTGTTCCTAGGTAGCGGAACATCAGCTGCCAGCTCTGGCAGGTCCTAGAGTTGTCCGGGAGCATGGGCCAGGCCGCGGCTAGGGACCTGACTGCTCTAACCATGCACAATCGGCCCAGCAGCCCCCAGCAGAGGCCTCCAAACAGCAGGGACAGTGGGGATGCGGCCTGGGCTGAGCAGAGCATGACAGTGGACCTGCAGGTAGGCAGGTACGGGCGGCAGGCCGTGGCTGGCAGACCTGGCTTCTTGCAGGTCAGGCACCAGGGGCCAGTTCCCTCCCGGCAGGATGTGCCATCATCCATTTTAGAAAGTGTTCTGTTCAAGAGGATCCGAATGACTTGGCCCTTAACACACCTTCATTTTCCCCCTTTTGTCTGGAAAATCCAGTTTTGTGCCACACCTACTTCCGTAGGCCACTGAAGCCAGGCTTGTGGCTATGGGGGAGGGCTGGGCCAGTGTGCAGGAGAGCTGCAAACCTGACAGGGGCCAATGCTCTGGTTTGGGCCAGGAGCCAAGGAGATGGCCATGTGACAGCAGGGCTCACAGGGAAGCCAGGCTGCTGGGCGTTGAGGGGGAGGCCCCGGATCCTGTGGCAACTCTGGCTGTGAGCTCGCCCTGGTGCACAGGCCACCTTCCTGCCCCAACTGTGCCGGGGCCCCAGCACTGGTCCATCCGTGCCTGTCCTTTGTCATCTCCCTGCCAACACCACTCCTGCCTCTCCTCCTCCTGCTGCACCACAACAGAGCCACTTCCCACGTTCCTTCTTCTCACTGCTGTGAAGTTTATTTCAGCAGCTCAGACGACCCTTCATACTCTGTCCTGCCCTGAAGCTCAACTTCAGGGCAGTCACTCCTCTTTTCCAGCATCAGTTCGAGCAGCTGTGAAACAAGAATCCCGACCCTGACATGGCATTTATTAAAAGGAAGCTGGGGCATCCCGCACCCCTCAGTCAGTCACAGGCAGTTGTTACATTGCCAAGAGAACCTAAGGCAGCACAGTCAAGGCACCTTCAGGAGCTTGGTTGGAGGCTGTGCTGTGGGCTGTGGTGGAGTAAGAGCAACTTCTCTGTGGAGATGCTCCTGCTGGCCAGGTGCAGGTTGTCAGCCTGCCTTTGAGAAGATGAGCCGTGTGTGACAAGCATGTCACTGTCCTTCCTTCCTTTGTCCTCACAGCCATTGGGAGCAGGTCACATTTTCCCTGTTTCTGGACCCGGCTCATAGCAAGTCCTTGGCCAAGCTAGGATTCCTGTTCCGGCCTCCTGGCTTTGCCTGTGTGACTGGTGGCTTTTTGGTTCCAGGTGGAGGAGACGTCAAGATTGAAAGTCAGAAGTTGAACTTCAAGGAGAAGGCCCAGGCGAAGGTGGGCTCCCTCGATAATGTGGGCCACCTGCCTGCAGGAGGTGCCGTGAAGGTAGTGAGGGGGCAGCAGGGGAGGGAAGGATGGAGGGGGACACAGCCAGGGTGGGGGCGCAGGGTGGGGATGCTGTGCAGCTAGAGTCTGGGTCCCAGCAGCTAGGCACCTGTCACCGCCCCTCAGTATGGTCAGGAGTCCTGTTTCCCCCACACTGTTGTGTTTTCCCTGTGTTCATCATCAGTCCTGAGTGAGGCAGGAGAGGTAAAGAGGTACCGGCCCGGCTGTCTCTGCCTTGTGTAGCTGGAGACCGTATCTCTCCCGAGAGCCATGGCCTTCCTTACTTTTCTGAGCCCATCTCACCCATTTCCAAACGGGCTGTGGCCTAGGGCACAGATCCTCCACAGAGTGGGTGGTCTGCATGGCACAGTTCTCCCCAGCTACCTCATGAGAGGCATGTGGGGGTGGGCTCCGTGCTGGGCCTGGGAGCAACATAGCACCTTTTCAACTGTCAGGCCTGCCCCAGGCTGGGGCTCTGGGAGAGGACTCAGGTGGGCAGGGCTTCTCATCCTCAGGACTGGCTGAGCCTCTCCTGCCTTCCCTCCTTTCTTCCCTCCCTCCCTCCTTCCACAGCACCGCGAGACCCTCTGTGTGCCAAAATGCTGTCTATCCTCTGTTCCGTGTCATTGGGTGGGGGCGGGGGGGGAAACCAACGGGGACCACCTCTTGCAGGCTCCCAAGCAGGAGGAAAGCCTGCAGCTGCTCAGGGGAAGGTGAGCAAGGGGGAGGGCAAGGAGCAGCTGTGGGGCACCTTCCCTCCTGCATCTGATGCCCGGTGCAGGCCTAGCCTGGCCCAGCCTCCATCCCATCTGCTGTCAGCGCTCCCATTCAAGGCCTGACTGGCTTCTGTGAATATTTGGGGTCCTGGTCCTCCTCTGTCACAGGCTCGTGGCTCATGGCTCCGTGCCTTGTGAGGAGCCCGGCCCTAGTCCATCCTCGAGGGGCACTAGCTCGGATGTGTCACTTATCCAAGGCCACATGGCGAGTACCCACAGACTAGGGTTTACACCTGGGTTTTCTGCCCCCAAGTCTTGTGTTCTTTTCTTTTTATTCACATCACCCTCCTTTCTTTATTATTTCTGAAATTGTTTTTCTAATACAGAGGCCCATCTCCTTCACTGTTCTGACTAGAGAGCACTGTAAAGTCTTCATTGTCACCTTTTGCGCATGCTGGGGCCCCGGTGTTCCAGCTCTCTCCAGTGGCCTCCCACTGGCCTTCCCTCTTCTGCTTTTCTCACACTGAGTGTTCATTGTCTGCCCCCTCCTCCTGGGAAGCCCTGCAGGCCCCGAAGTTCCACTGGGTCACACCTCCCTGGACACCTTCCTCCCTCCCCTGTGTCCCCAGCACAGAAGGAGGCCTCAGTGTTGGGTGGGAGCCGTCTGTGGTTCACTGGGTCGGAGGTGGCAGGCTGCACCCCTCCCAACTGACTTCAAGCTTCCAGAGCTCCCCAGTGGACCTGCAGCACCCCTGCTTCTGAGCCAGTTCCAGCCTCAGTGTCTCCTGATTGCTCCCAGGGTTTTTGCTGCCAGTCTGCTGTCACTGCCAGCTGTTTGGTGTCACCCTTACTGAGAAGCCTGTACCTCTCACCTCTCACCTCAGGAAGCTTCGCCCTTCACAGAGGGGTCTCCAGAGTGTATCACTAGCTAGGCTGCATGCAGGGGGCATGCAGGGGTTCTTCATTTGTGCCAGGCCTCCCGGGAGTGGGGAGCAGGGAGGACCTGGCCCAGATTCTTCAGACCACTGTACCTTAATCCAGTTGGGGGGGCGGGGGGTAGGGAAGGGGCTGTGTGTAAACCCACCACCATCAATCATCCCACCTCCTCCCCGACTGACCCTGCACTGTCTCCCCCACTGTTTCATTGTAGACTGAGGGCGGTGGCAGCGAGGCCCCTCCGTGCCCGGGCCCCCCCGCTGGGGAGGAGCCAGCCATCCCCGAGGCAGCGCCCGAAGCTGGCGCCCCCACTTCAGCCAGTGGCCTCAGTAGCCACCCCACCCTGGCAGGGGGTGGTGACCAAAGGGAGGCCCAGACCTTGGACAGCCAGATCCAGGAGACAAGTAAGTGGCTGGGCTTGGCCTGAGGGCCAGCCGGGGGCCCTGCCACTGGCTGCAAATTGAAACTCCTTTTTTTTTTTTTTTTTTTTTTTGACTAGAGTGTGGCCTAAATTTTAACCAAGCAACCTTTTATTTTCCAGGCATCTAATGATGACATTCTGGTCTCGTCTTCCGTCCCCTGTGTTCCCCCTCTTGTGTCCCTCGTGACCCTCTCCCTTCCCTCCTCCCGTGTCACTGCAGATTGAGACCTACAGGCTGACGTTCCGGGCAAATGCCAGGGCCCGCACCGACCACGGGGCTGACATTGTCTCCCGCCCCCCCCACCTCCCTGGCGGCCCCAGCGCAGGCACCCGGGCTCTTGGCTCCCTGTCCCGGGCTGCTTTCTAGACCCCACATGGCTTGGGTGCTGGGCCGCCCTCCAGGCCCCGTGCCCTTCCCCCACCTTGCTCACCCAGGGCAGCCGCAGGCCCACCCCAGACCTCCTCTCCTCCCTGCCCTGGGCCTGGCTCCTCGCTTTCTTCCTGTCCCTTCCTGGCACACTGCTCCGCACACCAGCTTGGGAGGTGAATGAGGTGGGGAGGCCACCTGGGGGTCTTGTGGGATCTAGGAGAGGGGAACTGGATTCCAACCTCCTCTTTGGGTTTTTCGGACCAAACCCAAGAGACACTGACATAGCTGTCCTCCTCGCTGGGCCCACCCGGAGGGAAGAATGGAATTGGATGGCCATGTGGTGGCCAGGTGCGGACTGCATCTCTCAGAACCCGCGAAGCCCCTGCCTCTCCCTTTCATCCCTCGGTGCTGCCCACCGTGCAGGTGGGGCCAAGCACGTCTCGCCCTGCCCCAAGTTAGCTAGGGGTCGGTCCTGCCTGTCCCTGCTGCTTCCCATACCTGCCTAGCTGCTGTCACACTTCTCTTTTCTTGTTTTATCCTTTTTTTTTCTTTTTTTTTTAATAACCTAAAAACTGGTAGAGGAGTTTTGCAGGTTGAAGCCATGTCTAAATGAAAAGTCCTCAGTAGGTGTTAAAGGAAACAGGGAGGGGAGGTCCTGAAGCCTCCTGCCAGGGGGTCAGGCGTCAGGGGCTGCCCTGGCCTGGGTGGCTGGGGGCCCGGGAGGCGTGGACGGGGCAGGTGAGGTGCAGGGGCTGTGGCCTGATGAGCAGGTGGGGCACAATAGCGGCTGGGCAGAGTGTGGACTGGTTGTTCTGGTATTTTGTGTGTATGCTGCTTTTCTTTTCTAACCAAGAGGCTGGTTTTGGCATCTCTGTCTCATTCCCTGGGATCTAGTGGGAGGTACAAGTTTGGGGCTGGAGAAACAGGGAAGGGCTATGGAGGTCAAAGTCCTCCAGGCTTGCAGGCCTAGGACACCAGAGCCCTCAGTTACCGGTGAGCCCAAGCTGTCCAGAGCTCAACATGGGTGATTGGGAATCAGGTATGGAAATTGAAAAAGGCATGAGACAGGCCATCTCCCCGCCCCTTACAGCCTGACTGGGGATGGGGGAGAGGTGGGGCCAGCCCGTGGAGGAATGTCCCAGCTATAGGCCCGCTCTTGGGATGGCTGCAATGATGAGAAATCCCGGGAATTGTATTGACATGAAGATTCTTATTGCACTTGTATTTTTTTTTTTGTATTAAAGTTTGCATGGTTTCTAATAAAGGATTAAAATGTAACAGTTTGTAGTGAAATGGCCGGGGAGTCTCTGAGGGCTTCTCCTCTGGAAGAGCATTTTCTGCAGTGCAGACTTGCCCCTGAGGAGGCCACCAGCTTTGGCCCCTCGCCCTCCCCACCATCACTCTGGCTGGCTGTCTTGGAGCCGAGAAGGTAGAGGTCCTTGACCTAGGTTCAGATGGCATCTCCACGGATTGGGAGGGCATCTGGGCCAGCAGGTTCTCCCGCTTCGGAGGTATCGTTTTCCTTGGGGAGGTTTGACACCACATCCTCAGCTCCCCAAGCACAGACTACAGGGATCTTGTGGACAAAGCGTTTCCCAAGCCAAAGACTGCAGAATGGTTTGTGCCAATGACATCAGGGCAGCACCCATGTTTTGTCAGCAGGAAAAGCAGTAGACTCTGCAGGGCCTGGAGGTACCTATGCCCTTCTTGTCCCAGTCCCACAGAGGTGGAGGTTGACAGATGGCTCTTGGTCCAAGGGTAGGGGTGAGAGGTGACCCTTACAGAACAGAACACTAAGTGGGCTGGAACAGTCATTATTGTGAGGGGCTGTCTGGTCCCAGCTCCTGTGTCCCCCAAGCCAGAGAAGTGAAGGCTGCCTGCCAGCGAGGAACCAGAGCCGTGTGCTGTGTACTACCTGCAGCCACTTGGGGGTGCAACGTTTCTGTACTTCCAGTTTGCTTATGGCTCAGCCATTGCCTGTGTCAATCTGAGATTCTGTTGTACCCATTTCAAGAGTAAATAAAGCTCGTGATGTCCCACCACACAGGCCCCGTCCATATCTTCTGTATATCCTGGCTTGTCTCCACCCCCTAGCTCATCCCCTCACATCAAGGGACTGATGTGCACCACAATCCTGATGACCCTCTGGGAACTGTGGATGTGACAAAGGAGAGTCCCCACTCGTGACAGGGCTGCCATATAACCCAAGGCTGGTTAAGGCTCAAGTGGCCTTCCTCAGCTGCCTGTAGAACTCCTCCCCTGGTTCCACTCGGAGCTGGGAGGTGGCAGCCAGCTTCAATGAGCACACACCGCGAACCACTGGCCAGGAGAGGGAGGCCCGGGCAAGCCCATGCTCCACACTTGCCGTCCTGGCTTGGAAGCAAGGGGCCCACCCCTTGGAAGCTTTAGGCCCCTTGAGAAGCAGGAGTGTGGGTGCTGGGGCCCCAAGAGAGGAGCCCCCAACGGAGAGCAATGCTCACAAGGGATAAATAGAACTTTATTTTAAATAAACATTTGCACTCTGTACACAGCCCCAGCAGACATGGGGCTCAGTCATCAGCCGTCTTGCGCACGTCAAAGCTGCCACAGGGCCCACGCAGCAGCTCTGCCAGCAGGGCCAGCAGCTGCCCGTGCTCCTGCTGCACGCCAGGTGGCAGGGCGGCCAGCTCGCTGCGCAGGCTCCGCTCCACCATGCGGCCCAGGGCCCGGCGCAGCTCCCTCAGCAGCCGCACAGTGCGGGAGTCGCCCTCCAGCCTCAGCAGGTCGCTGTCACTCAGTGAGATGGTGGCCCGGCGCCCATCATCTGGGAGAGGGAGGAAGAGGCAGCAGAGAGCCAAGTGAGGCCAGCCCCCAAGGATATGAGCCAGCCTCCATGGCAGCAGGGTGGAGAGTTTGCAAGTACCCAGTACCCACCACGGATGTGGACATCTCCGTCGGTCAGCAGCAGCACGGCCAATGGATGAACCTGGGAGGAGTCCCGGACGAAGACACTGCCATTGGACTTGACAGCCATGAAATACGTCAGCCATCGGCTCCGGAGCCGAGTGGCCTCCCTGGGGAATAGAGGGTGGGGTGAGCCCACCCTTCTTGACCAGGCCAGCCCAGCCACTCCTCTGCGCCCCACCTGCCTCCCACCTGTTAATGGTCGACTTGTGCAGCAAGATGTTGCCTGATTTGGTCCTGTAAGTGACGCTGTTGGGCTTGAACTTGCCCTGCCGGGTCACCTTGCCCTGCCTCACCTATGAGGGTAAAAAGAGATGGGCGGGCTGAGTGAAGAGCTGGGGGTGGAAGGGGGGCTGGGGCCAGCCAGGCCCTCCCTGGAGGCAGCACCTGGATGAGGTTGGGGTAGAGGCCTGCCATGAGCACGCCCTTCACCAGCTCCTCCTCTTCGCTGTACTCGTTGCACTGGGCAGAGGCCAGGGTGCAGTCTGAGGGCTTCCCCACCAGGAAAGCCTCGTAAATGTTCTCTGAGAACTGCTTGATGAGTCCTGGGAAGGTGAAGGCGGGCTAAGCCACAAGGCTGGGGACCCACAAGCTGGGCCTTGGCCCAGTGCGGCAGGGGGCAGTTTGTGGAGGCTGGGGCATCCCACTGACCGTGGATGAAGCGCAGGCTGGGTGCATAGAGCAGGTTCTCTTCCAGATAGTTCTCACGGGAGCTGCGGTCCTGCCAGCGCAGCACCTCCTCCCAGCCAGCTACAGCACGCACAAAGGCCAGGTGGTCACTCCCACTGTCGTGGCTCAACAGTGCCTTCACCTGGGAGTAGGAGGGGGTGCCAGGGTCACAGGCTGAGAGGGCCAGGGGTAGCTGCTTCAGGACCCAGGGTGGGGGAGGGGCTGGGGCTGACCTTATCCACTTCCGCCCGGTTCTGCAGGCTACTGCTGAAGGGGTCCCGGGTGAGGCAGGAAACAACCACCAGCAGCGGGTGCAGGCAGCGGAAGATGGCGGCCAGCACTATGGCCTTGGCCAGCCGGGGGTCGGTGGAGATGTGGGCCAGGCGCTGCCCCAGGGTGGTCAGGTACTCCCGCTGGTCCAGCACTCCTGCAACAGCTCAGCTGTCAGATTCTCCCTTAAGAGCCGACGAGTGGCAGCCCGGCCCCGGCCCACCCCACTCACCGATCTCCTGGAGCAAGATCACAGCCTCATCCACTGCCTTAATGTTCGGACTGTCCACGGCCTTGGAAAGGAACTCCACTGCCTATAGCAAGAACCAGCCAGACCCACCATGAGCCCCGCATCCCGCCATCCCTAACCAAGCCCAGCCCTTGCCCAGCCCCGCCTCTGGCGCACCGTCTTCTCAGGCATGTGGATCTTGGCTTGTAGCACCAGGTTCTCAAGGGGAGTGCGGAGAATCTCCGGCACTTGGAAAGGGACCATTTTCTCCAGCCGGCTCCGTGGGAATAGGTGGTAAGCAAAGCCTGACTGGCAGCGGCCCGCCCGGCCCCGGCGCTGGATCACGTTAGCTCGGGACACCCACACGGTCTCCAGGCAGGACACCTGAGGGAGGGGGCGGGTAAGTGGCTGTGCTGATGCCAACAGGCCTTCCTTGGTGCTCCCCCTCGCTGGCCTTCGCCTCACCCAACCCCTCAACACTCCCCACCCCAACAGGGACACCGAGAGCCCACGAATATGGCTGAGGCTGATCTGGGCTACGGGCCACCTCGGAATGTGTAGCTCTTCCCCCAGGGGCCGGCTGGGCTTAGGAGAGGGATGCCACCTTGGTCTTCAGATCATAGCGCTCCTCTTTGTGCAGACCACTGTCCACCACGTGCACGATGTCATTGACTGTGATCGACGTCTCCGCGATGTTGGTGGCCAAGACAATCTTGCGTACCCCAACTGGCGGCTGCTGGAATATGGCCTTCTGGTCCATCATGGGGATGTTGGAGTGCACTGGTGGGTGGCAAGAACATGCCAGTTATGGGCACTGCTACTGCTCCCTGTGATGAGCGCACAGGGCAAGGATTTTGACCCCATCTTGATGAAACTGAGGCCCAGATCAAGACTATGCCTGGGAAAGGTGGAAAAGCCAGCAAAAGTAGGGCAGCCTGGTCAGAAATCCAGGCACCTTGAGTCCCAATTGGCTCAGAGTCTCCAAGCCAGAGGGCAGGACTGGTGTCCAGGGGCCATCACGCCTCACTTGCACCCACGCTCTCACCTGGCAGGATGAGGTACTTGCTCTCGTGCATGCCCAGGGCCTCCTGGAGGCGTTGCTGCACTCCTTTGATCTCCTGCCAACCAGGCAGGAAGCAGAGGATCCCACCTGTAAAGGGGCCCTACAGGCATGAGCTGTCACTCTCGGCAGGTGGAGGTCGGGGGGGGGGGGGCACAGGGCAGAGGGGAAAGCACCCACCTGGTTCCCCTCGGGCATCGATGTGCAGAACCAGATCAGTCACGAGGTCCAAATCCAGTGCACACTCATCCTCAGACTGGGGGGGGGGGGGGGGAAGAGGCCACAGTCACAGCCCCAGGGCAAGGCACTCAACAAGTCACCCCCAACCCTCATCAAAACCTTGCCCAGAAGCCATGGTTTCCTGTTTCTATCCCAGAAACTGAGGCTTGGCAGCATGAACTCACCCTAGGCCACTGCGCCAAAGGGAGAGGGAGGAGGGAAACCCAGAAGGGGGCTGGGGGGGGGCAGCGAGCAGGTGCCCTCACCTCGTGGTGCCGATGCCTGTGTGGGTACTGGTGCTTGCCCAGCTTGGCCAGGATGTCCTCCAAGTAGTGCTCCTTGACCGGGTACATGAAGCCCGGCACCTTGATGACAGGGCAGCCACCAAAGTAGCGGGAGAAGCGCTCGTTATCACCTGTGGCACTCATGAGCACCAGCCGCAGGGCTGGGTTGAGCCGCTGCAGGCCCTTGAGCAGAATCAGCAGGAAGTCTGTATTCACGTCCCGCTCGTGGACCTCATCCACGATGACATGGCTCACGCCCTCCAGGCTGGGGTTGCTCTGCAGCTTCCGCAGCAGGATGCCCACGGTGCAGAAGAGCAGGGCCCCGCCGCGGGCCGGTGGCTTGCTCTCCAGCCGTACCTGAAAGCCCACATTCCGGCGCAAAGAGGGGCCCAGTTCGTGGCTGACCCGCTGTGCCACAGACACGGCGGAGATGCGGCGCGGCTGAGTGATAATTACATTGCAGCGGGCGCCACGGCCCTCGCTCACATAACGCTCCAGCAGTAGCTGGGGGATGCGTGTGGTCTTTCCGCAGCCTGTGTCCCCAGAGATGACCACCACCGGGTGCTGCTCAATGGCATTGAGGATGGTGTCCCGATGTGGGTCCACAGGGAGCTGGGGGGCCTCCTGCCAGACAGGCCCTCGCCGCCGCCACAGCTCCAGCAAGTTCTGGCTCAGACGTACTTCCTCTGCTTCTGACAGGGGCACGTAGGGCTTGCCTGTAATAGGGTCACTCAGGGGCCCCGAGTCCTTGCCCAAGGGCAAGATGTCATCACTCTGCAGCCGGAGCTCTGGGGAGATCCATGAACTGTCCACAGGGTACTGGGGGATGGGAGAAGGAAGCAAAACGGTGAAAGACAGATACCTTCTTCCTCATTCACTCGTGAGCCCCTCCACACGTTTCTCCTGGGCCAGGTGCCGAGGCCCAGCACGCCAGCAGGGGGACTGCCCTAGGACTCTCTTGGGCAACACTGGGTGGCTCAGGGCAAGGGCACTCCCAGGCTCCAACCTTGGGGAAAACGCGCAGCTACTACTGCCTGCTGCACATAGAGGCTTTCAGTCAGAGAAGACGGAGGTGGGCGGGGGGACTAGGAAGGGGTTCTCTTGGTTCTCTTACATGGTTCAGGAAGGTTTCTATCTTTCGGAGGATGGGCTCAGGCACCTGGATGGTACACGGCCGGCGCTGGGTCTCACCCAGCTCACGCAAGGAGGCCAGGTTATACATGGCATGGGTAAGCGGCTCGTTGTTGCGGTCCACCAGGCCCAGGCTCTGCGGAGACACGTACAGCTTGATCTGTCCCTCTGCCTCCCCACAACCGGCCTGGGCGGGCTCGCGACTTGAGAGAAATCATGCAGAGCAACCTCTTTCTA